CCTAATGTGAAATCTTTCATCTCCTGACTCCATCTCATTCCTTTCTTCTTACGAGAGCCCAACTTCAGCTGCGCTTCAAGGAGAATTCGCATGGTCGGCTTCAAATGTGGTCTGGCTGCAGCAACGATTTCTCTTGCAGAGAGCGAGGCTGATTTGGGATGTTTAGATCTCTTGACCTGCATTCGGAGTTTGTTAATGGTTCTATTCTTCTGTAAGAGCTTCTCTCTCAAAGCTGCCACTTGAGCACTATCATTTCGCCGCTTCCTTGGCATTGGCTGTTTATGATCTGAAACAAGAACCAGCAATGATGAAAGAAACTGAGGATAGAAATGCGGATTATAAGAGTGAATTTAAGGNGAATCACTGGCGGCGGTATTGAAATCCCAGACAACTGAAATATGTACATTTTAACTTTTCATTTTCATCAACCAAGTCAGAACACATTATCACACAGCAAGCTTTAAAGCACATTGAGTTACAGAGCAGTTTTGCTGAAATGTGCTTACATGGTGTGGCTTTTGCCACATTATCATTAAGAATTTCCAGTAACTCGAACAGAACTTGAAATATGTTTCATTTGGGCAACGGATATTATTAACGATCAGACTGATTTGATTTTTAGCATATTTATAATATTTCGTTATTCGACGAGATGGGACGAGTTTTATGTCTCTCTTCAAATCGGTATCAGTAATTGGTTATCTGTACTACAATGAAAATGGCAAATCCAAAAAATTACCTGCGGAGGGAGTTGCTGTTACATTGAAGATGTTCTGCCCTGGAGATGAGACGGTGCCGAGAAATGTCTGGCCCGAAGATTTGTCTCCATTTGATGAGGAATCAGGTTCCTGGTTTTCAGCTGCAAATTTAAATTAAATTGTTTTAACTATAACAAAGCATATTACTGTTCTATGTAAAACTAAATTTCCTAAAAAACATACTCAGAACCTCGGAGGATTGTAATTAAATGTCAAATTCTTTACAAAGCGATTGTCAAAAGAGAGATAGCCTTGACTACAGAATGACTGATAAAAAGTATGTG